TTATTATAAAAGCAAAAGTATGAAGTATGAATTATTATTAAAAATATATCAACAATAAAACTGACTAACAATATGATTATATGCCACTTCATAACAAAATTTAAGGAAAATTCTAAGGTCTTGTTACGAGATGGTGCAATCAGTATTTTTACTATTGGATACATATATAGATTATCTTGTGTGTGGATAATTTACGGTAACCAACACTGACGGAACCATTCCGTCAACGAGACTGTAATAGTCAAAAATTATAATTATCAAATTATCATTAGACATACCTAACAGTGTTAGCAACTGATTTTTTTTTTTTTCAATAAATATACACATTTTTCAAACTTGAAAATTTGAAAAATCCTCATGAAACACATTCAACTATATATATATATATAGACATGGCCACGGGTCGAACCGGACCGGACCCGGCCCGAACCGGACCCGGACCGGAAAAGCCGGTTTTCGAACCGTAACCGGACATCTAGAGGGCCGGTCCCGGGCCTCTTCGGTCAAAAAAAAACCCGGCGGGCCGGGCCGGGTCCGGTCTGAGTTCCGGGTTTTTGAGCCAACGAGGAAGAAGAAGAATATGTGGGGCCCGGCCCGGAACCGACTCGACCCGTCGGGTTTGCGACCCGGCGGACTGAACCGGCCCTTAGTTACAAGTGGGCAGGGCCCGGCCCGACAAATGGACACGTCTATATATATATTCTTTATTTTTATATCCTTGACCATTAATTAGGAGGCTAATAATATTACTACATTTTCACCTAAAGGATCACATGTAAATGAAAGTGCTTTGTGTTCATCTGTGTAACACCTTAAACTAACCTAAATCCCACCAACAACCTTTTATATGCTAACACCTCAAACTCACTCACACTGTCACACACACACACACACACACACACTTCACAGTTCACACTCTACACTTTCCGAGACACTCATTTTCATTGCCTTCTCCGCTTCATAATTTCCCCTCCCCCAAAAAAGAAGAAAGGTTTTCCCCCTTTGCATGGCAGTTCAGCTCTTGGCTTATCAGGTGGCCGACCTCTGCCTTGGCAAGCCGCCGCTCAGCTCCCTCCCCGCCTCCTCCGCCACCGTCGCCGACGCCCTCGCCGCCCTGAAATCCACCGGAGAGAGCTCCATCACCCTCTGGAGCTGCGACCACGCCTCGCCGGATAAGGAGTGCGTGTGCGTGGGGAAAATCTGCACGGTGGACGTGATCTGCCATCTCCGCCGGGAGGAGAATCTGGCCTCGCCGGCGGCGGCTCTGCAGTCTCCGGCAACCGTTTTGGTGCCGAGAGTTGAGGGGCTCGTGAGGCACGTGGACCCTTCTTCCAGGTGCTCCATATTCCTCTCTCTAGAATGATCGTTCTTGCATAAATAAAGTCCCTTTTAGCTCATTTGTTCCAAAGATTTTTTTTCCCCCATGTTCTTCCCTTTTTTTTTTTTTTTTTTTT